TAGGTCCTCAACCTGGAATTGCCTTACTTTGCTGACACAACTTATACATTGTTGAAAATATATAGAACACTGCATTTTTTCCACATTCAGTAAATTTTCAACTTTATTCCAAGTAAATCTATTCCTTAATATTTTACACACAATACCTCAATTGTGTCAATGCGATTTCTTTAGACTACTGAAAACTATTACAGTTAAAGAAATTGTTGGGATCTGGAGATCTGCCACCTTTCTCCAGCAGAGGGCTTCCCTGGGTCTCCTGAGCTGAAGCCACAAGCACACCTGAGGCTGATCATCTCATCAGGAGACCAGCTTTATAAGCAGCGGCTGAACTTCCCTTCAGTGCCAGAGTGTTAAACAGTTATGGTTAGCAAGCCTGAGCCAAACCTGTTGCCTGAATCTCTGACTGCTCTGAAAGCCAATCTGATTCTAACCTGCCTTTGTCCTCTCTGCCTTCCTAGGAAGACCTTATTGACTCAGGAGCTCTGGAGGAGCTCACATTCAAAGACCTGCCTGCCTTCTCTGTGAAGCCAAACCTGAAGATCAACAGTCTTTATCTGCAAGCTAGTTCTCAGAAGAGAACTAGGAGATCAACTCAAGGTCTGAACCTCTCAAGTCTGAAGTCAAGTTCTGCCGCTGCTAAACCCTCTGCTGAACCCTCAGTCTGTGGACCCTTCTGGTTCCCTCTCTCCAACGCTCAGTCTGAACTACCATCAGGTACAGATCAATTACAAGCTCTGTCAAGACTCCTCTGCTACTTGGCTAATCAAACTGTCCCTCTCTGCAGAGAGCCCTGTGATTCCAGTCCCGGACCCGTTCCTGTATCAGTGCAAATAACTTTATTGTGCCTACTCTCAATAAACAGTTGTTAACTTTTATTCTGTCTCCGTGGTGTTCTGCATTTGGGTTGAGCTCCTTAGACCCAACATGAGAGAAATCATAAAACATATTTCTCAAACTATTCACAGCTTTTATTTAATACGTTGCTGATCCACCTTTGGCAACAGTTCCAGCCTCAGCCTTTTTAAATCTGATACATTGAACTTAGCATTTTGCAAAACATCCCAAACTCCATCAGGTTGGATAGGAGATATGTGTTCAGTTATTTTTAGATCTCTCCAGATGTTGAACTGGATTCAACTCTGGACTCTGGCTTGACCACTCCATGGCATTAACAGAGTGGTTCCCACTCCTTTGAGATCTTGGCTGTGTACTTAGGGTTTTCGCCACAGTCTGAGGTTAAAAGTGCTCTGGAGCTGATTCCAATCGGGGATGTCTTTCCCAGAACTGTCCTAAATTGGATCTTCAGATTGTTGCCATGCTGGGTATTGAGATACCAGACAAAACTGGGTTTCTGACAGACCACAGAGTTCTAGTTGAGTAAAATAATTACCCTTATGATTAAGTTTCACTACTCTCAAGCTGTACAAAACGAAATGTAGTTTTGTATACACGCTGTGCATACAAAATGACAATAAAGTTTGTCTAAGTCTTGTCTAAGTCTTAAGCCCCAAAGAGTCGGAACTGCATTTTGTGTCCAATCCGATGGATAATCTTGTAATACGATGTTGCGGCATTTAGTGTTCACTGAGAGTCATTGCATAAGAATACAACTGATACGATTCTGCCAAGTGGATTGCGTAGCTCTGAGTGTGAAAGAAATCAGTCTTTTTTTGTCAGACTATGTGGCAATTTAGCTGCAATTCTATGGGTCTGACTGGAAGAGAGACTCAGTTATAAAGTAAAAAAAAACACCTGCTTTGAGGGAAATGAGTCACAAAGTGCATGGGAGGAACGGGCGCTATCGCGAAGCAATTTTTCTCCATCAAAGCAGTTCCCGGTGAGTGTGGGATTTTTTAGTGTGATGGTTGATGAACTCATATGTGAAAGTAGTTTAATACACCTGCCAGTATTTTTATTTTGCTCTCTGAGGTTTTGATATAAATGTGATACGATACAGTGCCTACATCAGCTCCTAATAGCTCAAAATGTTGCTGTAAGCTAAATGGTGGAGGCAGGCATGAGCACATCACCCCAATCCTGACTGAGCTTCAATCTAATCCTAAAGCTGGTAGGTTTTAGGATCAGGTTTAAGATAATGAGGCTAGTATATAAAGCACTTATGATACATTCACACCGAACAGGATTTGAGCAGCAGAAGCAGAAGGTTTACATGCAAAGTCAATGGTTGATGTGCATCAAGGTGTATTAAAAGGTCCTGCAATGCGGAGTAGCGCATCTTAAAGCATCTGAGTAGCACCTCATGAGCATCTGAGGCGTGCTACCCCTTCACAAGATGCTGGAGCTGGAATATTTACATTTTTACAGCTCAACATATCACATTAACCAGAGTAGCTGATCTGGGAGCTGAAAGTGAGACTCACACAGCACTGCTGATACAGAGGTGTCAGCATAAAGCAATCAAAAATATATAAATGAGGTGAAACTCTACTAGCTTTACATAAAAGGCAAGTTGATTTTTTCATATTCAAAGAAAAGGTTATTGATGCATCCATATTGATTAAGTTAAAATGTCAGCAAACTATGTTCAGTTTTCTTATTCTGTTGACTGCAGTTGGTACCAAATACCCAAAAAAGTCAACATCTACTTCCAGCCACCATGGAAAGTAGTAGAAAATCCCAAAGAGGCTGGTGGCCGGAGGCAGCTGCTGCTGGGGATTCCCAGTGACTGAGCCCCACCGGTATGTGGGGGGCCCACAGAGAAGGCAAAATGTTTTCAGGAGGACTTTCTGACTTCAAAATAGATTCAAACTACTTTTTACCCACTGATCACAGCAAATATAGCAAAGCCGCTCTCTGCCATTGAACACAGGAGCAGCAGAAACATCGGGACACACGTTACTTAACGCGCCTGGCCCATCTCGCTCCACCCAGGACGCAAAGATCTTCCTCTTTGTGATCCTAAGGGTTAAATGCACTTCAAGGGATGGGAGAGCCTTTTCAGTTGCTTATCCTAAGGAATAAGATCCCACTTGAAAAAGTCAAAATCTAGACAAGTAATTTATTCTTTAAAAAAGTGCATTTGTTCATGAATTAAGAAGGTAAGAGTAATTACTGTGCCAATGGAACAAGACAATTTGAATTTAAAAAAAAACACACAATTGCATTGTTTTATTTCAAGTGCATGTCATATAATTATCCAATTCTAAGAGTAAAAAAATCTAATTCTATTGGCAGATCATCTTATTACCTACTCAAATTAAGGGTAAATACTTTTAATTAATTTAAGAAATGTTGGCTTATTTCTAGATTAGTTTTGCAGTGTATTAGATATGCCAACTCTGTTGCTACCTTCGAGTTAGCACTGAAGACCTTTATGTTTACTCAGGCTTTTAGAGTGTTTGTTGTCTATTTATTCCTAGTTTTTATATTCATTTCAACTTTTTACAATCTATTTTTATCTATGTTCTTAGCTTTATGGCCTCTTTCTTCCATCCTGCCTTGAGTTCTTACATATACCTTGTTTTTTTTTTTTTTATTTATGCCTTTCCTTTTACTCACTTTTTTGTTTGTGATTATTTTCTCTGCTGTTGTTAATTTTTTTTTTTAGATGTTTTGGCATCCGGAGTCATGCGTGTTAGTTATTCAGTATCCTTGGCATTCTGTGGATTCTTGTAAATTTTGCTGTAGACATAAACTTGAACTTGAACTTAGGATAATATAGTTTGAGGCTTTGGAAAGAGTAAAATAACAATACAGGTCAGTTAGTTTTTTATAGTACTAGCCTAAATCTGATCATTTTTACTTCTATCCCTGATAATGCAATAAATATTTACCATACATTCTATTTTTTTTTTTTTTTATTGAATCGATACACTGCAAAAAAATTCAAATCTAAATAAGTCAAAAAGATTATTTACATTTAAAATAAGAATAAAAAACAATTGAACTGCTGTATCTAATTATCTTTTTTAAGAGTAAAAATACTAATTCAATTGGCAGATCATCTTATTTACCTACTCAGATTAATGGTAAATACACATAATTTAAGAAATTCTGACTTTTTTGTAGATCGTTTTTGCAGTGTACTGTCTTCTAACATAATTGGAGCATTAGTATAGTATAGTAAGAAATATTTCAGAGAAACATATCTCCAGAACCCTCATTCTAACCTTTATCACCACTCTCCAGATTTTATGTCTGAAATGTGGAAAATGTGCAAAGATTTGAATAATTTCTGGATACACTTATTTATAATTTTGCATGTAAATACAAACACAAATATAAAAAAGAATGATATTTATAATTTTCCAGAGCTAAAACCTTTGGGCTCACCTCTTTCTTGGTATCTTTGTTTGGATCATAGTCGCTATCATTTGCTTCAGTGTGATTTGCCCCCTCCATCTCCTCCTCACTGTTTCAACAATAAGGACAAAGACATACAACTTTTAAAAGAGCAACACCATGGCAAATAAGTAAAGAACAAGCTTTCTAAATTAACTATAAAGTTAGTCAAACAAGGTACATGAGCACTAAAATATTTTATTGAATTAATCATGATTCATTATCAAAATAAAATTACTGTTGTCTAAATTATTCACTAAAGTAATTTAGTGATCAATTAGAGATTAAGCTCTGAAATATTCCTTTTGCTAAAAGTTAAACCAGATCTTTGCAAGATATATATTGTTATTTTGCATTTAAGACCTTCAGTGTCTGTAAATATAGTCTATACTGAAAATATTTTGGAGTACTTAGAAATCGAAATTATTTGTAAATTTCACTCAATGAAATGTAAGTTGATTTTACTAACAAAGAAGGGGTGATTGAACAAACAAACACACTCAATTTAAATATACAGTCAAATTTCTCTTATTTTCAAAAGATGCACTTTTCTCTTTTTTTTTTTTTGCTAGGGAATTTTACACAGAGGCACAGAAACATAAAACCACTAGGTACACACACAAGGAAAATCCTGAGAACCCAATTAACCCAACAGTCAAGCATTTGGACTGTGGGAGGAGACTAAGAGTACCTGGAGAAAACCCATGTATGCATGGGGAGACCCTGCATGGAACGGATTAAACCCAGGACATTATTGCTGCAAAGCAAGAGTGCTGTGAACTGTGCAGCCAATGAGTAAGTAATATTTTCTATCTCTGACCTTAACATGGTTGATCTTAAGTAAACCCAACTTAAGGGAAAGCTTAAGCTCCAGCTGTATGCAGGAAGAATTGGTGAAAATGTTGGTCTAAAACTGATGGAGACATACAGTACCCTGAGTGACGTGCAGTTGTAGTCGCAGTAAAAAAAAGTGGCATAACAAATTACTAATAAATTTAAGGGGGCTGAATAATTTTGCACACCCAATTTCCAGTTTTTTATTTGTTAAAAAGGTTGTAAATTTCCAAAAATAATGTTCCACTTCATGATTGTGTCCCACTTGTTGTTGATTGTTGAAAAATCTTACAATTTTATATCTTTATGTGTGAAGCCTGAAATGTGGCAAAAGGTTTAAGGGGGCTGAAAATTTTGGCAAGGCTCTGTAGCTGTCAAAATGTAGCTGTCGAAAAGGAAGGAGCCTTATTTTGGAAGGCTAGGTTCAACATACTCTCATAAATAGTTTGTCATTGTTTGGATCTATGTGGCTATAATGCGGACGCTGCATCAGTCAATCTATGTTCCTACCTTCATCTGTGGTCATGAAATCTAGATTGTGACTGAAAGAAGGAGATTTCTGATACAAGCGGTTTAAATGAGGTCTCCCCACAGGGCAGTCCCTCAGAGATAGGGTGAGCTAAGGTGTTTGGTCATCCGAGAGTGTAATAAGCGCAGAAACTAGAACCCAATATTCAGACAGACCAGGATGATTTTCAACAGGCTTCATTTCTCAGCTAAGGTGAAGAGCATCGGCCTGGTGTCAGGGGGGCGGAACACTGGATTCTCTGATTCAAAGTACAATTTGATCCCACAGGAAACGGAGGAATCTGGGAGAGAGGTTATCCACAGTTTGCAACCAGGGCCGCTACCAGAATGCCGAACAATGATGAACTGAACGCCAGCTGACGCTAAGGGAGCAACAGCGTCCGTGAGGGGAATCCAAGCCGAGGTCAGTGAAGCACTCCAAGATCGATAACCAGCAGAATCCAGGAAAAACAATTAAAAAAAACAAAGCAGACAGAGCAGACAAGGGCGAGGCAAAAACACGAATATCCAAAGCAGAAAACAGGTCAGGATCAGAATAACAGACAAACTCTTCTGAACGCTAGAGTTACACTCACAACAGCTGAAATAATCTGGCACTAATGGAAGGCAGGCAAACAACATAAATAGTTGAGGAACCAGGTGGAAACCATCCGTGTTAATCAGCCACTAGGCCAATGAGACAGGTGAACAGCAGCAATTAAAAAAGCCAACCATCAACGCCAAGACCATGACAGAGAGAGGCTTAGAGTAGAGCCACATCAACAGGAGTCAGCTGACATGGCCAGGACATCCATTCCAGATGGCCCTAATACCTCCGACAATTTCAGTCACATGCCACTGGAGGGAGGTCTAAGAGACGGAACGGGACACCATGGGGGGACAATGTCTCTCCGTTGGCTCTGAAGCTATTCCAAGAGAAGAGGGAGGTCTGGGAGTCTCAACTGACACTAATGAGCCCATGACCCTAATCTGTGCCAAAATTTGAATTACAAAATTGGGACAAAAGAAAATAATGTCATTTATTGTCAGTCCTTAAAAGAACCACCACTGCCCACTGTGCTAACCCTTTTTTAACCAGGAGGGAGCCAAAAATGCAGTTTTAAACATAAAAACAGGATTTAAATATATAAGCTGTAAATTGTCAAAAAAAAATGCATGTTACATGTGGAGAGTACTAAAATACATCTATTTATACAGTGAGAGAGCAAAAAATAAATAAAAACAAAATATGACAACAAAAAAGTTATTTTATGGTTAAATAGTAATTTAGCTAAGTGTCCAAAAAACGTTTTATTTTAGACTATGGAAAATGTTTTTTTCTATAGTAAGATCAGATTTCTGTTTCTTAGATGGAACCTGGAAATGTTTAGCAGTGGGGGTTATTGTTATCAAGCTAATCAAAGAGGAACAGTGCAATTTTAGATGAAAAAGAATTGTTGATCAATTTACAACTTATTTTCACTTAAAAATAAAATGATCAGCTCTATCAAGAAATGATTTGAGAGTTGTACCTGTCATCCTGATTGCTTCTGTTAGCCAGTTTACGGGCCTGACGATCCATAAGGCTTGTTCTGGAGCGTGTCTTCTTCCAGGAATAATAGTACTTGACAAGACTGGAGATAGATTTGTCTGGTAACTGAATGAAAGATAAAAAGATTCAACATGTAATGCCAAGAAAAAACCCTTCTGTTGAGTAACAAATGAGAATTTAACCTAGACTGAGACTGATATAACATGATTTGAAGCATCAGAAAAGCTTCTGCTGCTTCAGTTCTGATGATTGTTCACATTAAGATCAGACGTCCATAAAGTGTGTCTGATGCTTCTGCTGCAGAGAGCGTATTTGCTGTGATCCGTGGGTAAAAAGTTTGAATCTATTTTGAAGTGAGAAAGTCCACCTGCAGTCAGTTCATCCAGATTACCATCCTGCCTACAAATATTATTTCTGTGGGAGCCGCTCAGACCCCCACATACCGGCGGTGCGCTGTCAGTGGGAATCCCCAGCAGCAGCTGCATCAGGCCCGGTCGCCTCTTGGGGGGTTCTCCTACTGTTGGTGGTGGCTGGAAGTAGACGTTAGCGTTTTCCACATACGTAATCCAATGTGGAGGCACCAGGATAACAAAAGCGAACATATTTTGCCGGTAGGTTTCTACATTCTAAGTTAATTTAGGCGTTAATAAACAGTTTTAGAGGAGAGATCCTAGTGCCCTGCATCAGCAGTGCTGTGTCTGTCTCCCTGCCAGCTCCCAGATTAGCTTCTCTGATCGGATGATGTGGACCCAGAGAGGCCGTCCATAGGGGACGGGCTTGAACTCAGAACCTCAGGATTGACCAGGCCGCCACTCCCCAAAGCAGGCATTAGCGTAAGGCGTCTTTGCAAGAGACCCACACTGGCAGCTCATTCCCCCCAGCTGGGAAATGAACCCAGGCTTCCTGTTTGCAGGACAGGCGCCAGCAGCTTCAAAAATAATATTCTGTCTGTTATGTTTCTGGCCTGTCAACTAGTGTTTGTGATGTCATTCCCCTCCCCCTCCTGCTCTGCCTGTTCATTTGGCCCTCCTGTGCTGCTGCTGCTCAGACCCTGTAAGTCAGTGAAAGGGTGGAGTAAGAGTAAAAAAATATGCACTCCTAGGACAATTTATTATCCTAGGACATTTTCTAATCACAGCTCATCTGATCCACCTGCTCCTGCCTATATTTAAAGTGTTTGAATCCGGTCATCAGAGCCTGATTATTCTTGTTCTCTCTGAATGGTTTGCCTCAACTGTCTTAGGACTCCTGGACCTCTGATCCTGCCTGTTCCTGCTCTGATATATTTGTCTGTCCTGGCTTTGGACTGCCTTATGTTCTCAGGGGTTGCAGCATCTGAGACACTCTGGTTGATGCCCGCTGCATCTTGTAGGAAGCCCACTGGCTGGATTTTAACTCGTTCTCTGGGCATGGACTGAACCAGGTTAGTGACTCACATGGATAATCATCCACAGTCAGATTATCATGGTCACTAACCTGTGTTGCTCTCCTGCAGAGAATTCAGTTATCTATCTATCTACTGCACCTCCTATATGTCATTGCAAAGTTTATTTCATTAGCTATCAAAGTTTCTATGACAATCAAAGTTTGATCAGTCACTAATGTTTGGAGTTTCGGCTACACAAAGACTACAGAGGACGGCACTGCTTGTGTTTCCTTGAGGATACTGGAAAGGGATTTGACGCTGTATTTTGGGAGCAAGCTTATTGGTGAATAATTTTGTTTTTATCCTTATATTTTTACGTTTCCGTGGGGGGAAAAAATGGGCTTTGGGGGATTATTGCGATGTGATTTTTTATTTTTTGTGGTTACTAGATATTCCTTTTTTGGGGAGTGTTGTAAAGCAAGTGAGCCCAGGTATGCCAGGATAGAGCATGTTTTGGAATGCCAGAAGATGAAAACAAGGTAATAAATGAAAATTATGAATTCTCATTTATTGACACAATATTAGTTTTAGGCGCTTTTAGAGTGCTGTTGGCTTTCAGTTGAGTTGATGGTTGTTTTCTTCAGGATCACCTGATACTAAAAAAAGTTCAACATTTTGGGCTTTGTTTAGAAACAAGATTGCTATTCGGTGGGGGACTTAATGTGACATCAAAACCACTCAGGGCCGAGTGGTTGGGTTATATTGAACCTGAGATGTAAACACAAACACCTCAGGAATGCACAAATACAAAACAAAAAAAAAAAGTTAGGTGTTTACCATCTGCTGGATGCGATGGAAGCTCTTGCCATGGAAGCTAAATGCCTGTTCAAACAGGACCTTGTCCTCAATGGTCCACTCGTCTGGGAAAGGGGTGAAATTGGGCAGGTCAGCCAAGGACTTCTCTATGTTGTGTTTGTGCCAGAACAGCATACCAAGAGCCTAAATAAAATTCACAAACATATACATGGTAGTGTTAGCAAATCGTTCCCAGTAAAAACCTGCAGCAAAGTTTGACCTTCACATCCTACTGTCATTAACAAACACAGCAACAAGACTGGAACCTATTGTCTACCTGTTGGCACTGCTTTTACATAATGCAGAGAATTACATTGGAGATAACCATAAAACTCATATAAACTATTTTTAAGATTATTTTATGTAAAAATTTAAATTGATGACGACACAGGCCAAAAGTATGAGTTTAAATCTAGCCAGGCAGGTTAAAAAGCATAAAGCTATCTTGTTGATTATTATCGTTATTATTTTATTGTGATTTATTATTTCAACCTGGAGAGACTCACACTCAGAAAAGTTGCAATACTCAATTTATTCATACAGGTAACACAATCATATTCTCTAAAATATTTTTATCTAAGGAAAACCAGTTGATATCAAAGATTAATTGACTTGCAATACCTCGCTCTGAGCATGCATGTAGCGTCAGTTGAGAGGAAAACTAATTTTGAACAGGTAGAACCCTCAAGCAGAACCAGGCTCAGTGTCATCTGCTAAGGAAAACTATGATTTTTTAAACCTGATATCAGGAAAACCGAGTTTACAAAGAGAGTTTACTCAACCTCTGTTTCAGTCACCTTAGTAACATTCTCCCCAGAGCTAATCTGATTAGCAGGTTAGGTAAATTCAGAGTGCCCTGTCTCTGCTCTCCTTACAGTCAATCACACTGTCTTTTTTCCTGGTTTAGTCAACCCAAGGAAGGGCCTCATAACATACCTGGGCGGGTATATAAAGAATGTGCAGATCAGCTGGCTGGTGTCCTCACAGACATTTTTAACACCTCGTTGGATCAATCCATAGTACCACCATGCTTCAAGTCTGCCACCATTATTCCAGTCCCAAAGAAGCCTCAGGTCATGAGGACGTGCTTCAAAAGGCTGGTTAAAGAACATATCGTCTCCAGTCTGCCGCCAACTGATGGAACCGCTCCACCGAGTACGCCATCTCTGCTGCTCTCCACCTGAGCCTGGCACACCTGGAGGAGAAGAACACCCAGG